TTTTCTTCCTACCTTTCCCCTCTCTTCCCCCCATCTTCTGTTTCAGGAGGTTAAGCCACCCTCGAAGGGGCTTCCGAGGTGAGCGGTAACTCATCAGAATCATAAGCAGAAATTTTAGTTTGAGGTTTGTAGATTAATGTATAAAACCAAGTAACTAGCTCATGAGGGGTAGAAACATGTAAGCTTCCTATTTTCTGATTTCATCACCTAGGCGAGGCCTAGGTGCCTGGGTGCCCCAAGGTTGCCTAGCCTTGCCTTGGCGCCTTGAAAACTATGCTCTAGACCTATTCTCTTTTGGAGTAAAGATTTTGCCCGATATACTCGATGAATTTCCTGATCCTCTCTCTATCCACACCACACACACATACACACATACTAATTTTTCTAACTTTCCTCCACAGTAGCTGGGATAGGGAATAAGAATAGGTAATACATTGATGATCCTTCAGGAGTCTCCAATTCCTTGCAAGGCTGCTAGTTATTCTACCCTAACAGAGTCCCCAATTCCCAAAGGACCCAAGCAAAGAAGTACAACCTCCCCAGACTTGTTTCTCAAAACCCCTCCCACTCCAGAGGAACCTGGGTTGCCTTGACTGCTCCCGTCAAACATCTTGCAATTACCCTATTCTTTATGGAGGAACATCTTTCTACTGCTGACCAGTTCCTCCATATATCATTAAAGGAGAATTGATAAAATTCATCAAGATATGAATTTCTTTCTGTTGTCTATACATCCCTCTAATACTCCATACTAAGGCTCAAATGGTAAAATATCAAGAAGCATGACAAATTCCTCCTTAAAACTGTACTACTTCCAGAACAAGATGTATGATGCTTTGATAATGACCTTATTAAGGCTAGTTCTTTTCTACTAAATTGCTTTATTTACTTGTAGCCCATCAGAATGGTTTTATTATTGTCATATCCAATTTTCAAGTTAATTGTAAAAGCCAATTGCCTAAAGTCTATATTTCTGTTTTGCATTCATGTAAGAGTACTAATATAAAATTTGGCATGCACCACTAAAATTAAATGAGAGTCCATTTGCTTACTCATCACCCAGAGATCTAGGCATCAGGCAATGGAGAATCATTGCTAAGTCTTTTCCAGGAAAATATTAAATGAGAGTCCATTTGCTTAGTCATCATCTAGAGATCTAGGCATCAGGCAATGGAGAAACATTGCTAAATCTTTTCCAGGAAAATAGTTTTGGTGTCTTAAAATGAAACCAGACTGCCTTTGGAGAAAAGCCATAATGGCCAAAAATATGGTCTATGAAACCTTGGATGAGACCCTAGAATGGTGAGAACCAGTTATTGCTGCTCTCTTTGGATAAGCACTGGAAAGGTTTTCTAACATTCTACCGACGTTATTGGTCTCAAGATAGGAGATGGAGCAAGAATTCATTTCTGGAAGAACCCATGATGTGACCAGTTTCCTTCAATGTAACTTTATCTGTTCCCTTCTGAAGTGCTAGATGATAAGGGAGCCCCAGTCCAACAAGGCTTTCAAATATCTATGAATATGGTAGCTCAGACAACAGCACTAAGAAATCTGAATGATGTGGAAGTAGATTAAATACCTTCATGCTCAGGTTACACAACAATCACCCCTCCACCAACAGCCTTGATAAGATAGTCTAGCCATTAGACTTATCTGGGGAATTCTTGGCTACATCCTTCTTCTACAAACCTAGTTCGATATCCTAAATCCTGTACTAATAGTACTGTGCTGCACAACTCATAAGTAATGCCCAAAGATAACTTTGTCCCTTTCCTTTATTCTGGAAAATTTTGTCTCAATTTACAAAACTAAAGTTCAATTGATGTAGGTCCTAAAGATTTTGCCAAGGAGATAAGTAAAGAATGTGACTATCATTACATGATTAAAACCTTGATATTACTTTGGAAATTTAATATGCATAAAAACATAGTCAAAAGAATTAAGCGCACTAAAATAAAATAGCAAAAGAAAAACAGTATAAGATATTGGAATGCAAGTTGAGTGAATATATATATTGCCAAGGAAGTTTGACATCAAGTAAAAAAACGGACATAAACATGTGATTTCAATTAGAAACTTAATGTTAAAAATGAAAACCGACATGTGAAGCATATAAATCAAAATTTAAGCATGAACTAAAATTTTAGTATCTCAAAGTGAAGGAAACCTGAGCCACGCCCACAGTACAGCATGTCTAATATAGGGCATTGTGGAGGATAAATGGCATCATGAAGAGGCAGAAAATCAGCATTAAATCATCTAGTTAGCTGGACTTGATAAGTTATCCAATTGGATTGGTTTCTAGCCCATGAAATCTCCTAGGCAAGATATATTGAATTCTGGGTCCTGATTCCCATTAATAAGAGCCATTGTCCACAAAGGTTAGGGACCCTTACTTGGTGTAATGGTAAAATCGCAAGCTGAAAAGTGTGAGAATGTGGGTTCAAATATGAGGGAAGCCATTTTGTGCAAAAAAAATGCCAAAGGTTAGGACCATACCCCTCCCTAAACCCCAGATAGCTGGGACCAACATTGGCTAATGGCCTTTTTTTTGTCCACAAAGATGCCCAAAAATATAGGAGTTTCCTTTTTAATAACAAAAGTTTCCATCTCGCTAAATGAATCAGCAATTTCATAAGATGCATGATCAACTTTCAAGCAATTGGATATTCATCAAAAAAAAAAAAACTTTCAAGCAATTGGATTTACAAACCTTATCAAGGTACTGGGCCAAGGATTTTGGAGAACCACGAATAACCCTAATAAGAGTCAGGAGAGAGGCTAAATGAACAGGTGAATCAGAGGCAGTAGACCAAATCTGGCTTTCTATTACATTTAAAAACCCTGGTATATCAGCGATTGCTAAGCTCGGAAGAAGAACACCAACCAAAGACTCCTGAATAGAAACAGCTAAAGCTGGATTTTGTATGGATGGGTTAGCAGATACACCAGTTAAACACTCTACTTGGAAAAATATATCCCCAATCAAACGGGATATTTCAGGACCAATGCACACCTTCCATGTGCCCTCCATTCCTTCAGCCAAGAGCTCTGCTGCAGTTGAACTGTATTTTCCATTCATTGCCATAACCAACTTAATCAAAGGATGAACAACCAAAGTAGCCAGTCTTGGTTTCACAAGGCTTGGATACCAAACAACCAATGCAGCTGCAACAATAATATGAGAGGCCATTCCATCTTGGCTTGTTCCCCCAACACAAGAAGTCCAATCTTGCATTTCAAATGATTCCAGCCATGCAAGGATGCTGGATTCCTCAACCTGAGAAGTCTCTTCTTTTTCTATCCTCTCTGAATCTAAAAAGCTGCTTCTCAATGTATCATGGGTATAGCATATTTCATGTTGAGTTGCTTTCTGAGCAGACAAGGGAAGTGGAATAGCTCGTGAAGCAGCACAGTGGAATAAAGATCGTGCAGCCATACGCACATGTTCGCTTTCATCTTGCCAGAAACTAACCAACAACTGCAATATAGAAGTACATTAAGGAAGACAGGCAAGTCAAGACATGGTTGAAAACAGTAACAAAACCAATCAATAGTATTTGTTTCAAACGTATGTCAAATAAACTAGGCAAAAACAGAGAGTGAATTATTCATCAAAAAAAAACAGAGAGTGAATTTCATAGGAAGGCACATGAATGATGTAGAAGATTTGTTTTTGAGGAAGATATTTGATATTCCAAGTAGTTAAATGCATTGGAAACCATCTAAATTTATATGAAATATATTAAATACAAGGAAGAATGGAAAGACAAACATTTGACCATGTGTTGCATTTTTTTATTATTATTGGTTAAAGCAAGACAAAGGAACACCTTTAGTACTAGTAGCCTTTTAGAATTAGACAATCCAACTTATTTTAGTAAATGCTCATTGGATATGATAAAGCCTAATTCTACAAGTTTCACGTATAGCAGAAAAGGCTAATTAGGAAAGTGTAACCACTTAGATAATAATATCCAATGGTTCAAGTTACAGAAAATCAAATATTAGCATTACATTGCAACCTGAAGCAAAGGTGGCTTTATATCAGGAATCTTCTCAGCAAAGTTCCGTGTATAAAAAGCAGACAAAGCACTGCAAAATAGATCAGATGAAGCATTAGCCATAAAAAAGAGAGAAATAAGCAAGGGGAAATTGGATATCACACAAATGATGTTCTAAACACAATTTATAGGAAATGCTCCTTTACACCCTCCTACAACCAAGTGAACATGAGGCAATGGTCAAGAGCAAAAAATTACTATTTCTAGTGGGGGGAAATGAAGAATATCCATATATTGCAAGTGCTTTCCCCAATAGAAAAGATAATTGGAAGTCATCCTCTCTTCAAGTGTCAAGTGTATGTCACACATACTGGGAACTAACAACTAATATTCAATTAGAACAACTGGAAGATCTACAAGACTGACATCTATCTCAATAAATTGTGTCATCTCCTATACTGGTGGATCACAAACCATAAAAATGATACCATGTAATAGAAACAAAGAGAAGGGAAAGAAACTTAAAGAAAGAAAACAAGTTTCTTCCAATTACTCTCTTTTCTTTCTTTTTTTCTGATATGAAACAGTAAAAGGGTTACTATTAATTAGAAATTAAAAATTAAAATAGCAAGTTTTATATATATATAGCAAGGTACAATCATTCCTGCTATTTGAGATTAAGAGAGCTAGAAACAAACAGCAGAAAACTGCCGAGCAGTCCCAAGAGATTACTTGTACTGACTGGGGACTTACCCTTGGGTCGCATTAAGAAAAATGAGAGGAAGTCTCAAAAATATTAACTGGTCAGGCCCGTGCAATTTTGAATGCTGAGAAGATTTTAAACTTAAGTGGGGCAGACACAACAGGTTTAATCTTATCAAAAGACAGTGGTGTCAGGGGAGAGGAGAGTTTGGGGGGCCACGTGGAAGGAGAAAATAAAGGGAGAGTAGGGTAGTCGAAAGAGAGAGAGGAGTCGGGTCTGTCAGAAGATGAAGAGACGACTCGAGGAGGTAAAGAAGGTGAAGGTTCGAACGAGGTTCGAGTTTCGAAAGATAGCGTCATCAATAATGCTGGGGAAAATTGAAGTCACCTCGTTTCAAGCTGGGGGTTTTGAAAGAGAAAAAGTTCAAGCAAAGTCAAAGAGCTTGGCATGCATTTCAGTCTGAAGATCTGTGGAAATGGATTGTTCATAAGAACCTGGAGGAGTTAGATCAATGTGGAAGTCCAGCAGAAGGGTCTGATCTAGGGCTTCACTGCAGTGGAGGGAAGAAAGAAAAGTCAAGTTCTGGTCAGCAAGCAGGTTTTGTTCTTTGTTTTGGTGATTTTTAAGTCGAGCTTTCTTCCATTCCTTCCTTCTCTTCCATCTCGTCACAACAAAGAAGTTTGGAGAAGGAGAACCAAGGGGTTGTTGATCGGAAAATCAGACGGAAGGAAGGGAGGAGGGTTCTGGGGAAGCGGTGAAGCAGTCAGTAAGGAGGGAAGGGGAGGGCAAGGAAGAAGTGATAGGCAGGGCTGGAAAGGAAGGGGTTGACGTCAAGAGACCGACTGTGTCTGGCTGTGCTGAGGGTACGGAAAAGGCTCTAGACAAGGACGACAATTCTGACTCAGCTTTAGAACACGAGGAGTTCCAAAAGGTGGAAATCGCAATTGGCAAGATTGGAGTCCATTTAGGTCAGAGAAGAGGTGTACACGAGGAAGGAGACATTGAGCCTATAGAAGGGACGAAGAAAGCCAGAGAGACAAATAAGTCACACTTTGTTTTGAGAAACAAGAGGAGATATACAAAACAGGGAGGGAGTGGGGGGGAACCCCTGCAAGTTACAAAGGAGGAAGCTTGTCACTATACAGATGCTCCAAATACACACCAAATACAGATGCTCCAAATACACACCAAATACACACCAAAGCTTGTCACTAAGTTAGCATTCAATCCATCCAAAGAATCCCAAGCTTCAGTCAGATAGTGATAAAGTCTCCAAGGGCCCCCTTTTTTGTCCATGTGTCAAAGATTTTCTCAAGGCTAAAAGATGGATTATTTGGGGCAGGACCCTCCAATAAATATAAAAGAGTTTACAAAAGGAAGAGATTGAAGGTTCTGGAATCGAAGAAGGGTGATGAAAGGAGGGGGGCGGAGCTTCAAGCTGCAGGAGAGGAGGTTACGTCAACCCTGATAAAGGAAGATCTAGAGGTCAAGCCGGGGTCAGGGGACAAGAAGGAGGAGGGAAGCCAAGCGGGTGAGAGTAGTCTTGTTACGTCTAAACAAGCTGATAAAAAATAAAGAGGGGGTTAAAGTGGAGCTTAAGAGTTTGTTAGACAGGGAAGTGAAAATTGGCAAGAGTTCAGGGCTTTTCTTTTGGGGAGGTGAAGAGTTTGCTAGAAGAGCTTTCGAAGTCTTTGAAAAGAGTAAAAGAGAAGAGAGAGAGAAGAAGAAGCTATGACGGAAACAAGATTTAGTTTGGGACAAGGATAATGACAGATGTTATGAGGCGTTTGAACCTGAAGACTATAGACAATATGTGAAAAGGGGGTTCCCTATCTATTTATATAAAGGGGGGGGGTCCCTGTTTTCGTTTGTTAGTATTTGTGTCTTTGTAATCTCCTGTTGTGGTATTTGGTTTGAGTGTAATCTTAACACCCCTGTCCGGGTTGTATCTTGTTTTCTTTTCTATCTATAAAATTTTTATTTTACTCTTCAAAAAAAAATTACCCCTAGGTCCTGGTTGATTTGTAATAAATATGGGGAATCAGGTCTTGGATAGGAGACAAACCCATCAAATGACTCTTTATGGAACAGGCTTATGGACAAGAATACAGGAATTTACATTTCAAGTTCATTTCTTTTAAGCTTGGCAGTGGTGAAAATGTTTACTAGTTGGGACAAGGCTTAGATGATTATGAGAAGGAGATCAGTACATGCCTACATGGCTCTGACTATGCTTTTTTAGAATTTTTATCTAAATTGTAAAATTCAACTCAATGTGAGATTAGGCTTATGCTGTTTTTTCCTTATTTTTTTACACCAGACCAGATGACCCATCACTGTGGTCCACCTCTCTCCTAATTTGATTTTAATTCCCAAAACTCCTAATTTGTCTTTTCCACACAATGTATTCCTTTCCTGAAAATTCTCTCCCTTGTCTCTCCTACATTCTCTCTCCATCCCCATATCTGCTCTTCCTTCCTAAAAATTCTCTTACATCTCCAAACTCTATTTAGCAGTTAAATCTAACCCTTATCTTTGTTTCTTATAGATCAACTCCAAGCACCTGTGCTCCTGATAGTTACTAGTTATAGTAAAATCATGATTTACTATTTTTAGAAATTTCTAGATTCTTACATTTAGTTTTAGTAGAATTAATAAAGTTATAAAGGTGCCCTAGTTTGAAGGGAAATTACTATTTTCTGTTATATTTTTTTTGATAAATTATTTTCTATTAGATTTTAAATTAAATAGGAAGTTTTTATTTCTTATTAAAATAGAGGTTGACAGATCTAGTAAAGAGCTCTCTTTTTTTGCTAATATGTGGATTGGTTCCCCAATGGAACCACCTCCAAAGAAAGTTTACAATTGGTTCCTCAATAGAACCAACTACAAATAGAGAATCAATAGATGTACTTATTTTCCTGCCAATACATAAATTTCTACCACAGCTGACAGCTATGGTAGGATTTATTCTTGCTGTTTCTTCTATTTTCTGTTCTTTATTTACTTGTTAATACTTGTGACCAAAGCCTATTGCTGCATGTGATTAGTTTTCTTCTTCACAAACTGACTAGTTCATCATGCAAATGTTATAGAAGTGCATAACACCAATCAACAACACTTCCTTCAGCAAGGACACAATACCTGCTGGCTGCTGAACTGGAACGAGACAAGCTAATCATGCGCTGGGCAAGGGACACCATGGTTAATGATCGCATTGCACAAAACTCTGAGGATGACCTCCAAAGCTGTAAGTTAGCTTAGTCTCAGGATTTGTTGATAGGAGACAGATAAATTTTTTTTCTTTGGAAATAGGTAAAGTAACTTTTATTAAAAAAACAGATAATTGATGGCAACAATAAAAACATTTGATCAGAAAGTACCTCAAGAGCAGCATCAAGACCAGGGAATGTCAATGTAACAGATCCTCTATCCCCCTGCAAACCAGAAGCTATAACAAAATTCTCTGGTCTACTAATATTCATCCCAGAAATTAGCAATCTATCTAGATCATCATCTATACCCCACAAGTGCAAGAAAGATAAACTGAAGCGAAGTAAACATCCTTCAAGTGATCTAACCCATGCATGTTCTTCTATGGAATTGCATAAAGTCTTTTCAATATCAGTCATATCATTTGGATTTGCATTGAGAGAGCTTGCTGTTTCAGGTCGTGCATTCTCTTGCTTGCCATCACTATCTGAAAACTGTGTGTGCTCTTCACAAGGAGACATTAAGGACAAAAGGTCAAATCGCAGAGTAGCAATCCCAGGGTAAGGACAATAGCATTTAATGGGATGTTTATTGTTTTGAAAGACTAATGGGGATGAAATTTGTTTTGCAGCTTTTCCCTTAATACCATAAGCTGGTAAGATATTTGAATCAGTTAAATCCATTGATATCTTCTGACCAGTATCCACTGAGGTGCCCCTCTTCTCAATATTCTTAACATGTGATAGTGAGCATCTTGCATCTTCAATTATGGGAAGATGCAATGAGGATACTGAAGTAGCTCCAGTCAACAGATTGCCCATAGTGGAATTTACACCAATGGCTCTGTAAAAATGGTCAAACACTGCACGAGAAGCCATACCACGAATAACTCGCTCTCGAGCACCAGTCTTTACATCCCAGAGATATAAAACATCAATGCTATCAGATATTCCAGAATCATTCTTGCAAAGACAAGCTATATAGCCTCTTGCACCATCCCATACAACAGACGAAGGGTAGTTAGGGTGTCCAGGAAACATTCTCTCCACCCTCAATGTTTCAACCGAAGCAAGAGCAACACAGGAGTCCTCCCCAACAGATAGAAAGCAATTGCTCCAAGGATGGTTTGTCCCGGGTGGAGGCAGGATCAGTTGTCGGACTGGAGCTACATGATGGTGCATTACAATGATGACATTACTCGTATCAAGATCCCATATACAAATAGTGCAGTCCATACTTCCTGAAAGTAAAATTCTAGAGCAACCCCGCTCATTTGAAGCTCCATCCACATGCTTTGCAGCCAAGCATAGTACTGCACCACTGTGCCCTGACAGAAATTGTTTAGATACGCGTGTCTCCACCTTGTGGCATGAACTTCCCTCAACAGGATCATGTTCCTGAAAAAGCATCTTAAAATGTACCACTTCTATTTCACCACTATAGAAGCCACAAACAATGCCATATGGTGCATAAAAATCTTCAGTAAGAACCATTGAAGATGAAACAGTTCGCCCTTTTAGCACCAAATCATTACTGTGACATTCTCTATTTAAACCATTTAAGTTTGATAAACTTGGGGTGCTACTGTATTGAGAATTTATTTCAATCTTCCCCTTTATGGTTTCTGTAAGAGAATCATAGTTGAGAATATGAGGTTCAGAAAGTGAACTAGTACTCCCAATCCAGTCACCAATAAAATCACCTCTCCCAATCATTTTGCATTGTTGACTCCAGTTCCCATTGGCATCATATGTCTCACATAATGACCAGATGGTAATGTAAGGTTTCCACAGAGAAGATTCTTCAACACTGTAGGAAATCGATTCTACACGAAGAAGCTTGTTGCCGAGTTGGCAAACATTAATTGACAATCTCACACCAATAGGATAAGAGACAGCAGGAATCTCACATAGAAGCTCAAACTTAAATGTATTGCTTGAACCTGATACAGTATACACTAATACAGCACCTCTATTACTCCATACAGCAAAGTTTTCTGAAAATGCTTCAGGTGGATCCTGCCTATCCAATGTATCCCTCCCACCAATATCAAGGAACATGCCCCCTACAAGATGTGATTGACTGGAAATACCTTCATCACAAAGAGGAGTATCGATTAAAGATATCTCACCAATAGAATTCCCCCCAGTCACTAGCCTAAATATGCAGTTTGTCTTATATACGAGGGCTAAGAGATTTCCACGGGTTGCAATTGATATTCCCTGAACTCCCTTACCAAATTCATCCTCCCAACTAGACATTCCTATATGTGAAGAACTTCTCTGTAAACCTGATCCACCTTCCCCATCGGGGCCAGACTCCTTGGACGCAATAACCGACTGCACTATACCAAGTCCATCAACCATGAACACGGATTGTTTGTCCCTATCTTCAATTGATGGAATAACAGCCATGAACTTCAATGGCCCAGCAGATAAACTCCCACGAAAGACAGTCTGGACAATGCTAAGAGAATACGAATCAACAATGACAACAGCACACTTCAAATCCTTTTTGTACTGGTATTCCTGATCAGCAGAAGCCTCGACCCCTTCAGCGGGATCAGCAGACTGATGATGGGATGCATGAACGGAATCTGTGCAGCAGCACGCAATACAAACATATCTAGGGGAACCAGGTAATGTCCGAATTGTGGACGGGCTCCCAACCCAAGGGGACATTTTCCTCCTGCGTCTGCAGTGCCCACTGCCTCTGCTCCAGATGCACAACACACCATCAGTACAAGCACTTATTAGTGCACCATAACCAGCTGAGGAAGAGTTTGCAACTACATTACTTGATTTCTCCACTTCTCCATGGACACCAACTGCAACGGGCGAGCAGATGTCAAGGTCCGCAATAGGCGCAGTATGGCCACATAGCATGGCCACAGGCCAAATTTCCTGTCAAAATAGCAAACGGTTACACAATAAGGTAATTCAAAAACAAGTTGAGACGTGATCCATATATCAAGAGTGTAGGAAACCAAATGAGGGAAAATCTACTCTCTCACGAAAATTAACAAATATCTAGAAGGCGAAATGCGGAATCTACAAACAAAAAAGCAGATTACCCTGTTGGATTGATTGACAGAGGGGTTCCACCAGATGATAGAGCCATCGGATCCACCAGTGTAAAGGGTCGGAGGTCGATTCAATACGGCAGTGGCAGTGACTCTGTGAAGCAGAGGGGCGCCTGACCAGATACATGCTATAGAGTCGCATTTCATCCTCGAACCAATTCAGAGACGGCGAGATATCATTAACAGCTGAGAGAATTTGAGTTCAGTTATGTGTGAAATGGTGCTTCACGTCCTTACTAGCGCCTAGGATCCTTGGAACTGGTTAAACTACGTAATAATGGGATCCACCTTCGACGGGACCTTGTTAAATAAAAAGGGTTTCGCAACGTTAGATTGAAATTAACTTATTTTTTCTACGGCAAATTTCTTAAATTAACCTTATAAGCCAAAGGCTATGTTTGTTCCAAAGTCTCGTTATTTTTTATGAAATTCTAAAATGAATAAGAATGGATAAAAATAGTTAAAATGAGAAAATATTGCTATGAATCAAATTTTTTTCGTGAAAAATAATTTTTTTTCAAACTAACAATTCAAAAAATTGGTTTAGTAATCATAAACCCTGGCCAAAGGTGGCGTTTGATAAATCTGAAAATTCAGATCTGAAAAAGTTAAAAAGATATTAAATGTGTCTCAAATCTTAAAAGAGGCAAGATGCTTTTCAATTTTTTAGAATATCCATAAGTTTCTTTGTGTTGGATCAATTATTAATTTTACTATTTTACCCCTAAAACATACTATTTGAAAATGTTGAATTCAATTTACATTATCTCATAAAAAATAATTTTCAACCTCAAAATAATATTGAAACAATACAAATAAAAAATAATAAATTAATTATTACTAAGTAATAAATGAAACAATAAAAATTAAAAAACAATAATTAATGACTATAAAAATATTAAAATAATTAATAATTTATACAAATAAACATTAAAATAATTTTTAAAATTTAATGAAATAATTAAAAACTACTAGTTAAAAAAATAATTAATAAGTAACACAAGTAAATTTAATAAAAAATAATTAATGTTTAATAAGAACCCATAGAAATAAGAACTTGCGAGCAAGTGAAGATAAAGGCAAGAACACCAAGTGTACCACCCACCGAAACACCTGCGACATATGCAATGTTTTTGTTTTGAGAATCCACATTATCTTGAGTATTCCACAGAAATGCCAAAAGCATAGGAGCCAAATTAGGCATTGGAGACTGGATACACTTTGGACCGTTGTTGCTCCTCAACTATTGGAATTGTCAACCTTCTCGGGAGTGTTAAAGGCATCTCCAACAAAGAAAGTTGATGTAGGGTGATTTGGCCCGACCTAGTAATAGGGCGACACGTGGACACGACCTAACTAGCAGGATGGCAACTCAGTCCGATGCACTAAGTCTGCAACGAATCGAGCTCGAATAACCAAACCACCTCAGGGCAATTCCACCTCGGACGAATTCACCTCGGTGCACGACCGCATCAGGACCACCTCGGTCCCAAGGCACTTCGGCATTCATACCAGGTCGGATCCAAAGGGCACTATCTCGAGTAATACTGATCGACCACTGCTTGGCAACCCCGAAGATCTCGCCACCAGATTCTGCGCCTCACGGGATCACACCTCGTAGCAGCTAACATTATCTCCCCCCATCCGATTAAGGCGGAAGTGATGAATCTTATCAGTTGGAAGCATTATCCCCAATTATCGCGGAAATGGACCTCATCATATCGAGGATTCCAAAACGGCTCCGCGAAACCAGCGAGGACTCCACTATATAAAGGCTTCACCCCCCGGGGGTGCAAGGTACGCATAATCTCTGCTCTCTTGCATTCTAAGCTATTATCAGCTCGTAACCAAGTACTAACTTAAGCATCGGAGCGACCTCGCCGGGTAAGCAACCGCGGGTTATCTAATTCGCTTTTTGCATATCAACCGAGTCCATTGTCTACTGGAAGCCAAATCACTTCCAATTGGGAGCAGCCAAATTGCGCTACATCATCTGGCGTCATCTGTGGGAAACGCTACAAGAAGCCTCTTTCCTCGAAAAGCATCCATGGCATCCTCTAGTAACACCAGATAGAACGGTGAAACGAACGTCTCCGGGGACAACCTCAGGTCCCATCCGTGTGCATCGGCCAGTTCACCATGCCTCTCTCTGCAGATGGGGTTCCAACATTGAACATACCTCGAGTCATAGCACTAGTGAATGCCCCACTCCCTCCTATGGAGGGTGCAATCTTTACTGAACCCTCTATGATTCCCCCTGTAGTCGGGAAGAATCAGCTTGATGACGTGGTACACTACATGCGGACTATTTAGGTCCAAATGCAACAGTTCCAACAAGTTCAACAATACCAGCAGCAGGTCCTGCACCACTTTTACCAGCAACAGTTCCCTCCGTTACCGCAGAATCAACAGTTGGTTCCACCTCGGAATCCGGCCCCACAGCAAAGCAGATCCCGTCACCAGAACACTCACCCTCCTCGTCGAAGACAGACTTCCCAGGTTCCACATCCCCTTGGAAGCCAAGTCTCGTCTCGCAACAGGAGGAACAGACAGATTACTCCTCCTGCTTTGGAAAACATCAACAGATCGAGAGACACTCAGCCCGCCAGGGTGGTTTCACCTAAACCATCGCATCAAAAAGGTCCGTTCGCAGGGAATCGATTCGGGGTTCTGGCCGCGGACTCCAGGCGAGGCCCCTCCATCCACAACAGCTAGCACCAGCAGTCCGAACTACCCCATGTCCGCACCGTACCCGTGAAGGGATGAGAGATCCATCACATGGATAACCGAACCCTAAAGGAAGGTAGGGCAAATTTTAAAAAAATTATCTCTCCCTCATCTGGGAATCACATTCCCTATTTTAGAAAACTGCATTTTCAATGATCAGTCTTGAACCCTAAACCGAACCAGATCTGAAACCAAAAGGTAGGAGAGGGATATACCTGATACAGAGTAGTAGCAACTCCCAAAGGTGTTCACGCCCAAGGAAATCTCCAAAGACTACTCCCACTGAAAATGACACAGTGTAGGGTGGAGCAGAATCAGCAAGGTGGTCCTTCAGCAAGAACCTAATTCTTCACCAAGAATCTGATAGGAGGGCGAATGAGCACGACTTCAAAAAACTGATATCAAGAACACTTCTTGATCACTCCTACTGGTGGAGAACGAACTAGCAATGGCGGCAACAATAGAGGGAGGCAAGAGCAGAAGATGGCGTCAATCTTATTGGGGCTGTCTTCTCTCTTAGATCTGAGATCTCGTTGGGTGAAGTAGGGTTCGCCCTCCTCCTCAATTTATAACCATAAAAAAAGCAGCTACTAATCTCATTAGGAGTTTCCTAATACAAATCTGTATTTGGATCTGGACTCTCTTAAAGAGATAAGGATAAGCCCTTATCTTATTAGGAGTTTCCTAATCCAAATCATTATTTGGATCTGTACTCTCTGAGTGGATAGGGATAACTCTCTATCCTAACAACCCGATCACACCGAAGTTAGCAGCACAAATGCAGAACCAGTCAAGAAGCAGCAGAAGCGGCGTCATAAGGCACACCAAGCTACAGTTCCAAGCCAGCTCGCTGGACCAAGTCAACCCGAACAGCCTAAAGGTAAAAACGAGGCAAGCTCGAGAACCACAAAGACCGCTCCCCTCCTCTCCGTGCCATCTCCTTTGTCCTCCGAGCTCCTAGCTACCCCGATGCCGAAGGACTTCAAAGTACTGCCGTTGGATAAGTATGACGGGTCATTTGACTCAAATGATCACGTAGACTCCTTCCAGTCCTAGATGCACCTAGCCGGGGCTGATGAATCTTGCATGTGCGTTGCCCTTTCTATGACCTTCAAAGGAGTAGCTCGCATGTGGTACAGGAACCTCGCACTAGGGACGATCAAGAGTTGGGCGCAATTCATGCAAATGTTCACCTCGCACTTCATCACCAGCAAGAAGTGCCTGAGGTCACAAGAAAGCCTCCTCAACATAGTCCAGAGGGAAGGAGAGTCGACTCAAAGCTACATCAAACGCTTCAACGACACTTGTCTACAAATTCTCGATCTGAATCCCGTTGTAAGACTCACAACAGCGAAAAGAGGTATCACTCACAGGGAATTCAAGTGGCACGTGGTAGCCAACAAGCCCAAAGATATCATCGAGTTTCTCAAGCTCGCTAATCAGTTCATCGGGACAGAAAGAGGAGATGAATCAGAAAAGTGATAACCCAGCAGATAAGAGGAAACGAGAAGGCGACACCTTGAACAACGGGGACAACAAGCGAACCAAGAGCAAGTCACCAACCAGGGGAGGGAACAAGTTAGATCAGCGTTCCCAAACTCCTCCGGTCGAAAGAACGAGTTATACGCCCCTCAACGCGAAGTGGGGAGAGATTCTCATGGCGATCAAGTATGCCTCTTATGTGAAGTGGTCACCCCGATTGAGGGGAGATCCCGCCACAAGAAACAAAAATGTATAATGTCACTTCCATAGAGATCACGGTCACAGTACCGAAAATTGTATAAACCTCCGTGACGAGATTGAAGAACTCATCCATCGCAGATACTTGAAAAATTTTGTACAAAAATATAATAAAAACCAGACAGATCGACAGGGGGAGCAAAGAAGAGATGCTCCTGAGTCCAACAGCAGACAGAGTGAACAGAGATAGCTACCCGAATAAAGACATGTTAGACAGTTGTATGCCCTTAGCTCCAATCATAATGATTTACTTTATGAGTTTATTGTAAATGAATAAAAGTGCATATTTGATTCATGTTCCCTTGGTATGTTTCTATGTAATACCCTTAAACTAGACACTTAATGAGACTCGTGTTAGTTTAGAATGTTCACAGCCAGTGGGTCGGTCTGGGGAGATCTATCCTGATAAGGCTGACACTGTGGTGCCACCAAGTCGGTTGGGGTGGCCTGTCTCAGCTACCTGGGTAAGACCCTAGGCACATACAGTGTAGGATTAATTGAATCTTTGAACTGGACCAGAATTCCAGTATTGCCCTGGACCTTGGAGATTGATGGGCAAAATTGGAAAATTACACCCGACCCCTAGACTCGACTATGACACTGCACTAGGTGTTAGATTGGTCTGTCTTTGATGTACCAATTAGTGAGATCCTTAGCGGGGGTCAAAACCTGGGTATGTTGGGACAATCTGAGAATTTATCTGAGTGGGTGATCATAGTGACAGGATCAACTCCTTTGTCGGACAAAGGTAATGATCGGGGATGCACTCTCACTGATGGAAACCAAGACTGCCGGCAGCCGATTTCAATCGTTGAGATTTGTTTTGCAAAGTATATTTTATATGAGATATAAAAGTATATATATTATGGTTTCCAAA